CAAAGAGAAATAAAACATACAAAAAGCCCTGCTGATAAATTCACATCAGCATCTTGTACTTGTGCTGCCTGAAGGGCGGTTTCTCACCAGTGCAATTATCAATAGGGCATCTGGTGAGTTTGCTTGCTGAAGCCTCAAGACTGGTAGCCAGACCACAGTGTGAACTTCACTCTACCCTTTGCTGGTCTTGTGACCCGGGGCCGCTTCTTCAAAGCGGGGGAAATGATTCTGTCTTCCACAAGAGGTATCACATACTAGAGAGGTGAAAGCAATGTGTCTAACACAGTCACAGTGTCTAGAACATAAACCTTGGTGACACTGGGGGCATGTTAACTAAAGGGCTTTTCAGTAATTGAATAGGGGAAATTGTTTCTAAGGTCTGGTGTGCATTGAAGGGGAGAGGTCAGGTCTAAGAAGAGCTAGAGATTCGGTTGGGTATTGTCTTAGTTACTTCTCTATTGCTGTGACAAAACACCATGACCAAGGCAATTTATAGAAGAAACAGTTTATCAGGGACTCACAGTTTCAGAGAGCCAGTACCTGACCCTCATGGCAGGGATTAGGACAGCAGGCAGGCACGGCATTGGAGCAACAGCTGGAAGCTTGCATTTTGAGACAATAACCGAGAGGCAGAGAGAGCGCTAACTCTTCTCTAATTGCTGTGGATTTGGGAACCTCAAAGCCCACCTCCAGTGATATAACTCCTCCAACAAAACCACACCTTCCAATCCTTCCCAAACAGTTCCAACAACTGGAGACCAAGCATTCAAACCTGAGCCTACGGGGAGCACCATTCAACACTCGTGAGTAGCGAGCCTTCTTCAGGGACCCCTTCTAGTTCCCCCATGCCTTTTCTTTTTCCTCCTCCTCCTCCTCCTCCTCTTTCTCCTTGTCTCGTATATCTCAGGCTGGCCTCCAACTTGTGGTGTTGCAGAGGATGACCTTGAACTTCTGATCTTCTTGCCTTTCTCCGCAGGTGCTGGGATTACAGGTGTACACCACCACATTTGGTTTTATGTGGTGCTGGGGCTCAAACCCAGGGTTTTCTGCATGCTTAGCCTGTACTTTACCAAGTGAGCTACATCCACAGCCTTCTTCCCATTTTCTTTTTAAGACAGCATTTCACTGTGTTGTCCAGACTGGCCTCTAACTTTGGGCATAAGTGATCCTTGCCTCAGTCTTCCAGGTGTCTAGCTCTCCACCTTCATTTTTGCCTCTGTAATTGTTCACACTTTTCCTTCTTTCCCAGAATGCCTTGCCTCTGCACCCTTTTATCTTTGCCAGTGAAACATTAGTTGTCATTCCAGGCCTCAGTTCAAATTCCAGGCCTCTTTAGAAAGTGTGCTGGCTAGTTTATACCAATTTGAAACAAGCTAAAGTTATCTGAAAGGAAGGAACCCTACTTGAGAAAATGTTTCCATAAGATCTGTCTGTACATTTTCTCAATTAGTGATCAATGGGGGGGCCAGCAAATGGTGGGTAGTGATCAATGGGGGGGCCCAGCCCATGGTGGGTAGTGATCAACAGGGGGGGCCCAGCCCATGGTGGGCAGTGATCAATAGGGAGGGCCCAGCCTCTTGTGAGTGGTGCCAACCCTGGGCTAGTGATCTCGGGTTCTAACTTGCTTTATGGTCATAGAGTTTCACTGCAGCAATAGGAACCCTGACTAAGACAGAAGGCATTTGGTTATCAGCTCAGTTGGAAATGGTGACCCCCTGCCCCATAATGTTCTTTATTTTTACTCTTTGTCTCTTTGGGAGCCACCACCCAGCTCCCAAATAAATCACACACAGAGGCTTATTCTTAGTTATGAATGCCCGGCCTCCACTTAGCTTGGCTTGTTTCTTACCAGCTTTCCTTAACTTTAAACTAACCTGTCTACCTTTTGCCTCTAGACTTTTCTCATTCTCTTCTTTAAATCTTACACTTTCTCCGTGGCTTGCTAGGCGGCTGGCCCTGGAGTCCTCCTCCTCTGGCTACTTATTTTTCCTCCTTTCTCCCAGATTTCTCCCTCTATAGATTCTCTCTGCCAGCCAGCCCCGCCTATCCTTCCTTTCTCCTGTCTTGCTATTGGTCGTTTGGTTCTTTATTAGCCCATCAGGTGTTTTACATAAGCACAGTGCCACAGCTTCCCAGAGTTAAACAAATGCAACATAAACAAAAGTAACACACCTTAAAATAACATTCCCCAACACCATAACACACTCTCCAGCTACTCTCTGGATCTACCAGGCATCACCTGGGCTCTGAGATTTCCAGGCATGTTTCTCTTTTTTCTTTTTCTTTTTTCCCACTCTTCTCATTAATACCTCTCTCTAGGTGTACTGGCCTTTTGTTCCTATAAAGTTCCTGAGGCGGACCACTTGATAAAGGGTTTTATTTGCCTCCCAGCTCTGGAAGTCCACACAGCACAGCCTCGGCCCTGATAATGGGTCACCTTGACGTCATGACGTCATGGCACGGGCACACATGCATCTCTGTGCTGTCACTCTCCCTCTGCATAAAGCCACTGGGATCCGATCATGAGACTCGCTCTTAATGACCCAGCCATTTCCCAGAGTTCTCTCTGTTGGATTTCTTGGCAAAATGATTGTCTAGAATGTGAGGCCCTGGGTTCCATCCTCAACACTGCAAACAAGCAGCAAGACAAAGCAAAGTCGCCACTTCTAAAGGCCGTATGCAGATTTCCTACCCTCTTTTTAAAAGGATTTATTTAAACATGTATGTGAGTCTCTGTCACTCTCTGCCTTTCTCTCTGTGTCTGTATGTGTGTGTGTGAGAGAGAGAGCTGGAGTTAGAGGTGGTTTTGACTTTCAGATGTGGGTGCTAGGAACCAAACTTAGGTCTCCTCTGCAAGAGCAATACACATTCTTAACAGCTGAGCCATCTCTTCAGCCCTGAGTTTCTACCCTCTTAATATTAACATGTGACTTTGCAAATTAGACTTTTGCATGAGTCCAGGGGGGCACAGATCATGTTCAAACCATAGCACAGGAGAGGAGGAGAGATAGGACCTGAAGTGAGTTAAATACACCATAACATCCTTACACTGGCAGGAACCTCAGATTAAACACCTGGGGGAGGGAGAGAAGAAAAATAAAAGAGCTGGGTGTGTAGCTCAATAGTAGACTGCTTACTTACTGCTTACAAAGACAGACAGACAGATAGACATGCATGCATGCACATACTAACCATCTGGAGTATGGACCCTGATAGTGTCATGTGATTTTCTGGGGTAAAGGTCCAATAAATGAAACCTTGCAAGCCCCAATAGACCAGATGAGTCCTGTATTCTCTGGGATTCTATGGCCCACTCAGCAGTCACTGGGGACCCAGGCACATAGCATTACAGAAGGTCTCCTTAGCTGAGCCCCACCCCCACCCCACACCCCACACGTTCTCAACCAGACTTCCTGTAGACCCCCTCAAACTAGGTTCTTTTGAGTGGGCAGGAGTCCAGACTCAGGTTCCATCAACTTCTCCCATCACTGAAAAGCAGGTTTCCAATCTGATAGTTACAGGGCTTCTGGAGGTGTGAGTACATTAAGTCACTCTGGGAGGCTTCCTGGTTCAGCCTGTAGTGCCTTAGGCAAAGCAGTTCAGCATCACTGCCAGCATCCCAAATCTTCTTCCACAGATTCCCAGGCTTTCCACCCTACAGAGAGCAGAGGATTCAGGCCAAACGGACTGCCTCCAGAGGCGGTCTTCCTCCATGAAAGCATCAGTTCATTTCCCTACTTCAAAATCAAATTGCCTTGTAAATTTGGGACAGGTCTAGGAGAAAGACTCCAGCTACAGAGACTGAAATTCCCTTAGTGGGCTGAATCCTTTCTAGGTTTCTATTCTATTTCCATGTTGGAACCTGATTGGGTGGAAAAGAGTACGACCAAGGATGTTGGCTGCTGCGCAGGGGAGGCTGTGCACTGGGGAGTTTTTAGTTGGGGCTTTGTGTGAGTGGTTATAAAATAATTAGAGCAGCAATTGTCCTGCCCCAAATCTGATTTTAGTTCCCCCAGAGTCATTTCAGAGGATGTGGCCACATGTCAACCATCCAGGCCAGTTCATTTCCAGTTGGAACCTGGCTAACTAAATATCAATATTATTTCATTCTAGGCTCTTTGTAGCCAAGGACCATCCATTCACTTGAACCACTATTTGAACAACATATTGGGGTTGCCAAGAGCAGAGCTCACTGTCTAGCAAGAGATGGATGGCCCTGAATGACCTTAAAATTTTTTAAGCCTTTATTCTATGCATATGGGAGTTTTGCCTGTGGGTATGCCTGGACACCACATGTGGGCCTGGAGCCCCTGGAGGCCTGAAGAGGATGTTGGATCCTTTGGAACTGGAGTTACAGATGGTGGTTAGCCATCATATGGATGCTGAGAATCAAATCTAGGTCCTCTGGAAGAGCAGCCAGTACCCTTAACCACTGAGCCATCTCTCCAGGTCCTGAATGATTTTTAAGAGCAGCAAGGAATCAGACAAAGAGAAGCAGGTCTCCCCGGCTTGGTTGTTAGGGAAAGCACCTTTGAAGCAGTGGTATTTCAGATTAACACCATAAAATAAGTAGGAGATGCTCAGGCAGAGTGGAGGAAGCAGTATTTTGATTTGTTTTCTTGAGACAGGGTCTCATTATGTCAGCCAGTCTGGCCTTGTGCTTACTGTGTCTTCCTGTCGACCTCTCAAGTGCAGGAATAACGGGCATGTGCCACCATGCCAGGATAAGGAGAGAACATTTTCTTTTAACTGTTTTAAGGTTTATTTTATGCATATGAGTGTTTTGTCTGCATGTATGTAGGTGTACCACTGTGTGCCTGGTGCCACAGAGATCAAAAGAGGGCATCGGATCCCCTGGATCAGATATTTGTGAACCACTGTGTGGATGCTGGGAATTGAACCCAGGGTCTCTGCAAGAACAACAAGTGCTCTTAACCACTGAGCCACCTCTGTAGCCCTGAGGGCATAACCTTTTAACCAGCTGTATCAACCCGCACAGAAGTTCAAAGGCAGGCGACAGCAGGAGGAGCAGGGTGGACGTGCTAGGTTATCCAAAGGGGTGTGCAGGTAGGGCCACAGGACCTGGGAGGCCATGAAAATAGTAAGGGGGCTTAGGGTTGTCGCTCAGTGGGAGAGCACCAGCTCTGCATGCACAAGACCCAGGGTTTGGTCCTTTACATCACAAAAAGAAAAAGGAAGAGAGAAAATAGTGCACCTTTCTCTAGATAGTGCCATGAGTGTGCCTTAGAAAGAGAGGAGTGGCATGTTAGAGTTGTCCTACAGCATCCTGTCTGTGGCTTTGGGATGCAGGGAGACTTTCATCAGAGCTTCAAGTCTATGATGGCAGCCTCCTGAGCCTGGGGCTGCTCAAACCAACAGACTCTTTGCAACTCTCACCGACTCTTGCTGCTGGTCCCATTCTTTCTCACTTTCCCTCCACTAGGATCTGACTCGTGTGTTGGTCTTTCCTGTCAGCATCAGATTATGTGTGTGCAATCGAGCTGAGAAGCCTAGAACGGGGTGCGGAGAGGAAATTCAGAGTCACGCCGCCATTCTGTAGCGAGAAGCTGAAAGCACATCATGTGAGAGATGCATAACCCGGGACAGTTCCTGAGCAGAGAGCAGAGCGGGGCTGAGTCATCCCCTTCCACGTGAAGAACAGCAGGGTGGTCCCTTAGGGGATTGAGATGGGTGGTCTTGTCGTTTCTCAGTGATCGTCTTTGGACCCCTGGGGATCGTCTTTGGACCCCAGTGGTGACCCAGAGAGGGTGACTGGGTGCAGATTTATGTGCTTGGCTTCTAGGCAGGGACAACCTTGAGCACTGGCAGCCCTTGTAGAAGTGGCCTGGGCCAGATCAACCCCCTCTCAACCTCCACATTTATAAAGATGATGTTGGGCCAACAAGATGGCAAACTCAGTGGGTAGAGCTTGCTGGCCAGCCTGACAGCCTGAGTTGGATCTCCAGGACCCGTGGGGTGAAGGAAAGACTCCAGAACTGACTGTAAGTTGGCCTCTGACCCATTTGTGTCTGGTTAGGGAGACACCAAAGGCAGCATTATGGGGGAAAGAAAGTGGGTTCTGGAGTTTGCCAAGGAGGAGCCATCCTCTTTCTGCTAACTTTGGAGGGTCCTCAATACTGTTGACATGAAGGACAGACGTCTTTTGGCGTTCCTGGCTTCTGCCTATTGAAGGCCCTGCTCCTTCACATTTAAAAAAAAAAAAAAAAAAAAGACTTTTTAGTACAGCAATGGCAGTTACTCCTCTCCCCATTAAGAACCTCTGTCTCATGATGACAGAACAAGGTGATGTTCAGCTGTGTCTCAAACCCCTGTAACCGGCAAGCAGGGAGGTAAGGAAGTCTCCTCATTTAAGATGTTACTGGAGGAGCTGGAGAGATGGCTTATCAGTTAAGGGCACTTACTGCTCTTCCAGAGGACCTGGGTTCAATTCCCAGCCCCCACATGTCACAAGGCTTACAACTGCCTGTTAACTCCCAGCTCCAAGGGAATCTGTACTCAGCAGGCACCCACATACACGTGCACATACCACCGCACAGGTACGTAAGCATACACATGAGTAAAAATAAAAATTATCCTTTCAAGAGATGTTACTGGAGGATTTATCCTATGGGAGTGTACTCTGCTTACAACACTTTCTCAGGCTCTTTGCTCACAGTGGTAACCTGCAGCCCTAGATAGCGTCTGGTGGAGGAGCTGAGATTTGAGTCCAAGCCCTTGGAGGCTGCCAATGTAGAACACCACGTGTGGCTGAGGTGCTACTGTGTTTGGCCACCAGATGGCACCTGGGAGTCCTAGTTCTCTGCCGCAGGACTGGTGGTAACCGGAGTTGACTGCAGAGAGAACTTGCCTTAAAAGAGGCCCGCTGCTTAAAGAGACACAGCCACACGCCCTCGGGATGGACCCTTAAATCTACAGAATGAGACTCCACCATGGCAAGCACCACTGTCCAGGGCCAGTAGCTTCTGTGCCTTCCTGGATGTTGATCCAGTCTCCTTGGTGACTCTCAGTCCCTGCAACCTTCCTCCTGAGTCTGAGGGGACAGAACCAGCCTGGAGAGTGGTGTCAGAGCTCCTGGCCGAGCAGCGCTGGAGCCGGGATGCATCTGCAGAACTGAGAAGGAAAGAGTGGGAAGAAGTGCCAGCTTCGGGGCAGTGGTGACCACAGGAGGGCAGAGGGCCAGCTTGTGAGCGCTGACCTCTGCAGGACTTGACTCTGCTTCTCTGGAGCCTTTAAATTTGGTCTCTTGGGGGATTTTTTTGAGACTCCTTGTCTCTTCCTCAGCTTGCGTCTTCCCAAATGCTGATGGGGACTCATAGGTAAGTAAATGAGGGAAGAGGTTCTAGACTCCACCGCAGGACCATTCCCATGCCGAACACCCTGCGGGGTGACTGCTGAAAACGCCACGTTAGCTGGAGCTGGGGAAGGGGCCCTCCTCCACGTGGGTTTCTTTAGCCTTAGCTAAGCCAGCTGCTCTGCCATGATGCTAACTCTTTTTGGTGCCAAGGGGTAGGGACAAGGCCTGGGATGTGTGTGTGTGTGTGTGTGTGTGTGTGTGTGTGTGTGTGTATGTGTGTAGTGCCCCATGCAGCTGTCTGTCCTTGGGTACTGCCCTGGGAGTGACAGAGGAAAGCGTCAAGGGTATGAATGTAGTTCTCTGGGGATCAGTCCACATCCTACCAAGGGTACAGCTCTTTCCCATGGCTCGAGCTGACATAAAACTTCCAGGGAGAAATGAGTTGGATTTGGGGTGGGGAGGGGGCTTGGGAGGTAGTTTCTGTTGTCTGTAGATCTCACTGTCTTCTGGAAAAGCCAGGAGGCTGGAAAGGGGCAGGGAGGAAGAGAGTACAGGACAGAGTCTTGGGCCAAGCTCTCTCCCTGAGAGGCAACTCATGGGAGGCCTGGCCTGAGGAACTTTCATCTCAAATTACTTTAAATTTACATTTATTCATTCAGTGTGTGTGTGTGTGTGTGTGTGTGTGTGTGTGTGTGTGTGTGTGTGTGTGTGTGTATGCTCACTCATTCACATGCATATGAGTACCACGGTACCTATGTGGAGGTCAGGAAAGATCAGAGGACAACTTGTAGGGAGTCTGCTGCCTACCATGTGAGTCCCAAGGCTCACACTCAGGTTCTCAGGCTTGGTAGTAAACCTGCTCTAAGAATTTCCTTCTTCCCAGACCTCAGAACTGAAGGTGAGTTCTGAGAACAGTAAATGCTGCTTTATTCCACCAAGGAAGGGGAATGAAACGGAGTGAAAACAGGTTACTTGCCAGGCATGGTGACACATGCCTTTGATCCCAGCACTGCCCTGGGAGTTTGAGTCCAGCCTGGTCTGCATGGTGAGCTCTGGACCAGCCAGGGCTACAGAGTGAGACTATCTCAAAAGAACAGACAGAAAACCCAACCACATGCATACACATACACACCAAACAAACAACAGAAACCTCATCTGTGGGAAACAGAAAAGCAAGCTACCCCGGGATCTTTTGGGAAGCAGAGTTTACAGTCTTTCAGGACTAATAAGAGACGTGGAGGTCATGTACCTGACCTACCTGGGTGTCACCTTCTGCACCTGTGAAAACTAAGGTTGGAAAAGCTTGCATCTGGCCTCAGGCATATAAGCAGAGGGTGAGGGACCTGGCCTACCAGGCTGTCTGGACTGCTTTCCAGCTTGTCTGCAGGGCCATCTGACCTGTAGTAGGTGAGGTTTTCTTTGGGAAGCAGTTCTCTGTTTGCTTACATATTGGTGGCCCCTGGGAGTTCTGGAATGACATCGTCTTACCTTTTCATGCAGCTCCAATTTCTTCTTCCCTGGGCTTAGCTCTTCTGTTTTTTCATGTGTTCATCCATAGTCCAGTATAGCATTCACTACACACTTGGTCTCTGGGTCCAGACGATTCATTTTCAAGTGTCGCCCCCTGCTGGCTGGCCAGTGGCTTAGCCTTTCTGTGCCTCTGTTTTTTTGTCTGTGAAATGGAGCTAATAGCAGTCCCTATCTTGCTTGCTTACTGGGAGGATTAGGCCAGAAGAAGCTTGTAAAGCACATAGAACAGTACCTGGTAGTTAAGCATCAGTCAGTGTTAGCTGTCATTAATTTTTATGACTCAATATGCAATTTAAAGATCCTTTTAATTTCCTCTTATGTGTATGAGTGTTTTGCATTGTGTATGTGCCTCGTGTACCTGCAGAGGCCAGAAGAAGGTGTCAGATCCCCTGGAACTGAAGTTACAGATGGTTGTGATTCAGCATGGAGATGCTGGAAGTCAAACGTGGGTCCTTTGGAAGACTTACCATCTCTCCAGCCCCTCAATATGCCTTTTTAATTTTATTTTTTTTTTTGAGGCAGGATTTGAACTCCTGCCTCAGCCTTCAGGGTGGTTGGAATCACAAGTGAGCATGCACCGCTACACCTGGCTAAACATGCACTTTTGAACGCCAGTTGGCTGAGCTTTTGGCAAAAACCGGTTTGTGCGTGAAGCCACATTGCTGTAATAGCATTTTTGAAGGTTTACACACACACACACACACACACACACACACACACACACACACACTCTCCCTGCGTGGCCCCAGCAACAGAGACACTTTTTTTCTCCAGCAGTGACCACAGGGAAATCAAACTTCTGGGTCCTTCCTGTGGTGCTAAGGGGAGAAAAGTGGAGAGACCTAGTTTGATCTAGGTGACATCACTCTGATTGCATCCTGGCCGAGTGGTTGGTAGGCCTGAGGGCTGGTTGTTAGAGAAGCAATACATAGCACACTCCTGGGAATAAAGGGGAGAGCTGCTGGTCTTCATGATGGGGTCTGTGTCCTTTCAGCCTCCCCCGCCACCAACACAACACTCAAGGCTGTGCAACTAACCTTAAATCCTGCGATGAGGGAGGAGCAGGTAGGTAACCATGGAGATGGGGGGAGGGGCAGGATAAACTGAGTACGCAGGTTGGGGATATGGAAAGTGTTGGCCCTTCCCACTGGATAGGGAGTGGTTACTAGGGGCTTGGGGAAGTAGTGTTTTGCATGCTGACTCAGTGCCTTGGGTGAACCATGCATCTGTACATCCAGGCACTTAGCTGAATCCGGAGGTCTGTCCACAAGGATGCCTCCCTGCTGCTCTGACAGATTGGGGCTGATAGCTGGGGTTAAGAGCACTTCAGGATAGCAGGCCTTGGGCAAGCTACCGAGGAGGATGCCTCTTTAACTCCTTAGTTCCCAGAGCGTGTGCTGAGTTAGGATTTCCCCAGCCTTTCCCTGCCCTCGGTGCCCCTTGATCTAACTGGAGGCATTTGTTACAATCTCAAGTCACCCAGGTGGTCCAAGGCCCACCCACTTATCTCTGTAAACAAGGTTAGAATCAGGCTGGGCGGTGGGCTTCTTCCAGTAACTACCCCTTCCCAAGACAGTAGTTCAGCAGTGGAGTTGTGTAACACACATCTACTCACCCCGGACAGGGAGCCCACGACAGAGCAAAGTATAGAAGAAGCACCAGTGTCTGCACCAGACACCCCAAGAACAAGTTCTCAACTCAATGGAAATTTATTTGCCCCAGAGGTACAAAGGGCAGGGAATAAGAGACATCGAGACAGGAGACAGAGGACAAGGGAGAGGGGGAAGGATATTTGCCCCCAGAGGGGTAAAGGACTGCCTCTGGATAGAGAGGAGACAGATGTGGCCTGTATGCAAATGGCGGTTTATAAAGGTAAAAGAGGAAGCCCTGTATTGGGATGAGATGTTTAATTTTGATTGGGCACATTAATTAGGGTAGTCAAAAGGGGGCTTTTGATGGCTGGACTTTAATACTTTGATAACTGGACCTTGGTAGTCAGCCTCAGGAGGAGGAAGTGACCATATAAGGGAACAGACCTTGGTGGCTAGTTTTAGGAATGTAATCTAATGTTTTTTAGCAAGGTGGAGGGAATGGGGGAAGGGCAAGGCCTACCAGAGCCATGTTTGCCATGCTCGGGCCTATTAGGGCCCTTCAGTGGATACCACCCAAATCCAACTTAGTGATCTGCTGGCTTTTATTGGGGTTACTTACAGGAGCAGAAATGACTCAAAGACAGGTACTGATATCACCAAGGCCCACCCCAGAAGGGGTGATCACCCACAAAAGCTAGGAAGCCCCAAGCACACTGCACAGCCTTCAGGTATCGCTCAGGATGGAGTGTCCTTCCCAAATAACTCTGGTCTAAACCTGGTCTAGGCAGCTGGACTGGTCTGAGTCTTTGCAACCCAGCTTCCTTCCTTCTGAGGGGAATTCTCAGCTCTTAATTACTTACTCTGGTCGGGGGTGGGGGAGGTCTAGTGAATCTGGTCAGTTTCTGGAACTTCCTGAAGCTGTTTTGTTTACCTTCCCACTTGAGGAACTTCCTAGCAGGATGGAATGTTTCAGTCTTGGAGGAAACTTACACAACAGGTGGGGGCCGTGGCTATGAAACAAAACGGTAAGGGCTTCGGTGAGGGCTCCGGTGAGGGCTTCCTAGCAGATGGTCTTGCACTCATGGACCAGGACAGATTTCCAGGGACTTTCAATGCCTTGGGTTACCTACCAGTCAGCTGACAGTGAGGTGGCGTGCTATGGATCCAGCCCACACTATGCAATTTGGTCACTGGCTGTGCCCCGGTTTTCTCACCCGGAAAATTCAGAAATTAGGTGAGAGCTGGGTCTGGTAGCACAGGCCTCTAGTCCCAGCTTTTGAAACCCCAAAATTGGCCCCCAGTGACACACCTCCTCTAACAAGGCCACACCCTCTAATCCTCCCCAAACAGTTCCAAGGACCGGAGGACCAGATATTCAAATATATGAGCCTGCAGGTGCCATACTCATTCAAACCACTGCACTATCTCAAAGGGTAAAAAAGAGAGCTGGAGATACAGCTTTGGGGTGGAGTGCATGAGTGAGGTCCTGAGTGCAGCTCCTAGTGTGCAGAAAGAAAGTGAGGGTGAGGAGAAGGGATAAGGAAAGAAGGAACCTGAAGAAACAGGGACGTCCATAGCAAGCTCATCCTTGTGAAAAACTGAAGATTCAAGCCAGAAACAGCAAGTATTCAGGGTCAGATATTAGCACTATGGTCTGCAAGATTGTCTCTGTCCCCTCCACTCTATTGTGGAGGGGACAATCCTGGGCAAGATGGGACAGAATGCAGAATAAAGCAAACTATGACAACACTCGGAAAAGCAACTATAACGTTTCAGTTAGGAAAAAAAAAAAAAAAACACCGAAAATAGCTTGCTCAAGCCTTTGTAGATAAAAATGTAAAATGTATGCAAATGTATGTGACTCACATAGAAACATATATCCACAGCCTCCTCACAGTCAGCACCGGATGTGGAGATGTAGGGCTGTGGCCTGCAGGAGAATCCCTGTAGTGTAGTGAGAGGGCCTAAGCTGCCTTGATATTGTGGGGAGGGGTCAGTGCTGCAGCCTTCCAGGGTTTGTAGCTGATGCCTATACCCAGGCATGTGTTCCCTTTCTCCTGGGTTCTATGCCTTCAGAAAGTGATGCGCAAGACTAAGGAATGCCCTTGTCCTTTCTCTGCTCGTCCGTCTGCTTCCTCAGAGAGCCTGCTTGCTCCCTCTCCCATCCCGGAACTCTATTTCTGGATAGTCTTGCTAGAGATGCACCACCCCCTCTCCTGCCATGCTCCAGGTGTCGGTTGGGCCCTCCCAATCTTCTATGCCAGTCAGGGACCGTGGGAGGGTAACAGTTGAGCAGCGAGGGCCGGCAAGCCACAGATCCAGAAGCTTGGGTTAGGCCTGGGGTCATAAGAGCTGAATGGGTACAGGAGGGCCTCCGTATGCTGTAGACAGCTGTAGGGATCTCCTATACACAAGAGCATCTACCCTTGAACCTCCCCGAGGTCCACAGGCTCTATCCTGTGCTGCTCTTCTTGGGTAGTTATGGAGGCTGGCGTCCAGACAGCTGGGCAGCTTACAAGGCTGGGCACAAGTTTCCTTATGGATAAAGGTCTGCTTCTACCGTTCAAAACTATACCTGTGCTTGTCTGGGATGAGGAGGAGCCCTCCTCTGTGTTCTGTGGGTGCTAACAACACTGCTTTCCATAGAGGTCAGAGAGTAGCTTAACTCTTTGTAGACCTCTGTGTTCCTGGAGCCCAAGAAGGTTTTGCCCTAAGCTGTCTGAAGATGGGACGGGACGGGACGGGATGGGACGGGATGGGACGGGAACTGCTCCCTTAGTAGAAATGCACTATCCTGGTATATGAAAGGTCTAATCCAGGTCTTCCTGGGTGGGCTTGATTGCCTCCTTCCCTGGGAATTCAGGAAACAGGCTTCAGCCTCCGCTGTCTTGGACCACCCTAGCCTGGGTCCCTTTTAGTCCAGTACTGTCTCCAAGTCACTTGACCCAAGGAGATCTGTGTACCTAATCTATGGGAAAGTTGCCCCGAGTCCCCTATCTTACCCCCCATCCCCCAGCCCCAAAGCCCTCAGTGCTGTTGAGGTCACTGTTAGGAATTTTGTTGAAGACTCTCTTCTCTGAGGCATCTGACCCCATCATCCCTCAACTTCTGTGTGATTATGCACTGAGGCCAGAGGTAAAGGGCTCCTGGAGGGACTGGGTGAGCCCGGGGCCTTCTGTACCCCAGTTTGTCTCTATGCCTCAAGGGGCACATGTGAAAGATGTCCTTCCCCTGAGGGCAATGTCTGACTCTGACCCCTGCGGGGCCGTCTTACTTTAACCACCCACCCCTGGTGTGAATAGATGGATGCTTTAAGGTTTGGTAGGAAACAATCCCTGGGTGGTCCAGCCTTCCAGCGGGTGCAGGACGCTGTTAACCTAGTCCACGCCGCTATCTATGCTTGTCTAGGGGTGGGGCCTGGCAACGGCACCAGCCCCAAAATCGTGCTTAGAGATCCTGGGGTGGCAGGTGATGTCACCCCTGCGAGCTCATAGGTCTCCCTAGTCTGCGGGTTGCCAGAATTTCTGCTGAGCCCAACCGGAGGAGGAGGGGAGCCTCTGGCCCTGCGCCGCCTCCCGGAGACCCCGCGGGAGTGCTGTGCGCCGGCTGGAGGCCGTCGGTGGGGCTGCGGGCTGCTCTCACACCCCACCGGCCTTCTGCGGCTGGGGGTGGGCGCGCTGAGCCTCACGCTGATTGGCTGCCGCCTCCGCCCCCCGCCCCGGGCGCAGCGCAGCCCCGGGGAAGTTGCTAGTTGGCGCGCGGGCTGCGGGGCCGCGGCTCCCGGATCCGCAGCGGGTTAGCCGTGGCCACAACGGCACACTGGACTCCCGGGGGGCGCTCCCCCGCCCTCACCTCCGCAGCTCCGGCTTGCTCCTCCCTGCTACCTGTTTCCCTGGCGCGCCCTCCTCCACCCTGAGCTCTGCAACTTCGGCCCCCCGAGTCTGGCCGCCCCTCCCGGCACCCCGCCCGCCGGCGCCCTCCCTCCTTTGTTGTGCGATGAGGGTCGGGTTTCCCATCTGACCAAGGAGCCGCTACCGCGCGGAGCCGCGGGCATGGAGCCGCTTAGCCACCGGGGCCTGCCGCGCCTCTCCTGGATCGACACCCTCTACAGCAGTACGTGTGCGCTTTGGCCGGGGGTGGGAGGGAGACCCTGCGCCCTCCCATGATCCCTGTCGCCCTCTGGGTCCCAGGTGCAACCAGGCAATGGCGAGGGTTTGCGGGCATGGTCCTCCAGGTGTGCGGCCGGCCAGGAGGAGGAGCAGCGGTGTGGGGTCGTTAAGGCAGACTTGGGGGGGTGGGGGGCTTGCACGCACCGGGGCCGGGGGAATTGTGTTACCCTACCCACCTGTTGTGTAACCCGGCACTCCAGCGCTCTGTGAGTGGGGAGCGCCCTTTTTAGGGCGCTACCTCAGCCTTCTGGATGGGCAGCTCTTCTCCCCACGTTGAAGCAGAAAGGCCATCTTGGGAAAAGTCTTTGGTGCTCTAGTTGACCACCTCAGGGACATTCTGAAGCCGATGTGTGATTCGGGTAGATGATGGGATCAGGTTGGAAGAGAGACTGGAGGTACGGATCTCCGTGGGGGCCATTTGGATGAAAGAGCCAACCCCCAAGCTCAGCAGTCTTTCTCGCCAGCCTCATCGCCACCCCCATGATCATCACTACCACCACCACCCCCCAGAAAAGCAAATGAAGAAAGAAAAAAAAAAAAAACCTCCGGTACTCCACCCCCTCGTTCCCAAATCAGCTGCGATCATGTGATTGCTCTTGTACAGCCTGGGGGATGTGTCGTTGATCACTGGGACTTACTCAACCGGGAACCATTTTCCCCCCACCCCTTACCTTAGGTGGCAGTGCCATGCCGTTCCCCTCCCCCCAACTCCTTGACATTCTGGCGTAGGGAGATGGTCCTGCTGGCCTCCAAGGAAGACAGTGGATTTTGCTCTTTATTGTGGTAATGCTGGGAGCCCTCCCACTCTCTTAGCGCACCCCCAACTCTGAGGCAGGTACAGCTAGGTGGTGACTATGAACATTAGATACCACGGAACAAGGACATTTTGAAGGGTTAACCTGGCTTGAGTTCTTTTTTAAGTCACATTCCAGCGGTGAGAGATTATGTTTTGAGCCTGGAGATCCTGCCTTGGTGTCTCTGCATTGCCCATTACCCAGCTCTGCCCTCTACATCCCTTTGGGTCTAGCCTCTGCCTTCTGCTCCCTCTGGGTCCAGCCTCTGTCTTCTGCTCCCTCTGGGTCCATGTCCTCTGCTCCCTCTGGATCCTGTACTTCTCATGTCTGCTCCCCAGCCTCTTATCCCAGTTTCCTACCCCTCCTCCCAGGAGCTCCCCTAATAATGGTTCATTCTGCTTTGGGTTTTCAACATCAAAGAGGCAAATCTGGTTCCCCTGGGTGTCCATCCTGGTCAAACCCAGCCAGTCCATCTGCTCTTTTCCAGTAGAGGCCAGCATCATTGGGTGAAGGTCAGGGCTCACAGCTGTGTGGCGTGTGTGTACACGTGTGTCTGTGCAAATGGGGACACACATCTGTTCAGAGGCCTGGTGCAGATCAGCTCCTGACTCAAAGGACGGATTAGTGACCTCTGTTTAGCTGAGCTCTTGCAAATAACAGTCATAACAATGCCTCATATTCATCTGCTGCTTATGCTCTTGGGTATTTCTGGCTCTCTGCAAAACCCATTTTTGGTTTCCTTATTTCCCAAACGTTGAATCCTATGGAAAGCAATTTGTGGTTTTCTTTCTATTACTAATGTTCTATAACTTGATCATCCAAATCCCCACCCCTAGCCCTAGCCTGGAGTCATGGGGCAAAATTGCCTTGAGATTTCTTGACCAGGGGAATGTCAGAGTGGGGAATCAGGCCAAGGGCCTCTTTGGGGGTGCTCACTCCAGTCCTCACTCCGATAGCCTGGCACCTGAGCCGTCTAATCTATTGTAAGGCCCTGGGGCAGCTGGAGGGAGGGCGGCGGGGTGGCGGGCAGGGGCACTAACTCGGCGTCGTGCATGGTGTCCCCGCCTCACTTTCTGGAATGGCTTATTTGGGAGTCTGTGGCAGAAGGCTTCCTGGGAAGGTTCTATGCAGTCATATTTGGGCTGCTAGCCATCAAGTTTTCTTTTTGACAAGAACCTAAGTTAAATAAATACCCAGGCTGTCATTTGCCTGGCAGTGTGGTTCTGTGGCTCCCTGGGAAGTTCCTCTGCCTCCCTGGAAGCTTTGTGCTTACCACACTCGCAGGTCCCCACAAATGCTAGATCCAGGAATTGTAAGCTGGGCACAAACGGCAGTCAATGTGACCCCTTAGAGATGTGAAGTGATGCAGTGATAGAAGCGCAGTGTGAGTGAGGTTCGTGTAAAAGTACTCCATCGCCTCTCCGGGTTGTTCAGAGTGTGCCAAGTACCGGGCTAGGTACTTTCTACCTCCTGTTTCCAAACCTCATTACCCTGAACTCTCACAGATTAGCAAGGGGGTGGGGCGCTGAGTAGACTCAGTCATGTACTCACAGTCACCCAGCTGATAAAGCACAGAAGGGAATTCAGGCCATACCTGGGCCTAGAAGGAGGACTTGAGTGCCTCCCAGATGTGTCTGAGCTTCCTCAAGGCCCAGGGCTGTCATGCAGATGGGGACACCTCTCTCCTTAGTCCTGTCTTCAGATGTTTCCCTGAAATGATCCCGAAGGGTAAGAGGCTTTGGTAACTCCGGTGCCATGTTCCGTATCTGGGCCTGGTTTCGGAACCCATGCCACGTTGACCGAGGCTCCCTCTAAAGCCCTCAACTCCTGTCACACTAGCCGCCAACCGCTTCCTCCACAGACTTCTCGTTACTGGAGTCCCTGGCCGCCTCTTTCTGGTGTAAGTAAAGGTGATAGCAGCAAATCCCCTCTGCTTGTAGCTGGAGTCCTGAATGGCTGGGCCGTGGACATCCATTCGGCACAAGGAAAAGCGTTAGATCAGGTCCCAATGTGATCTGGGACTGATTGGGGCAGGATTCTTGGCCCTGAGAGCCTGAAGTGGCTGCTGGGGGCTGCAGCCACCTCAGGTTCCTGCCTCTTTACTTCTCATTTTCGGTATGGATGTAATGCTGCCAGCTTCCTCCTCGATGCTTTGTCTTGATTCTTCCCCAATGGCTGGTATGAGTCTCTCTGTGGGCCTAATTTCTTTCTCATAATTCCTGTATGTCTTTTCATCAGTCATCCTTTCCACTAGACACTTCCTGCCCTCTCTACTATACCATGGAGGTAATCTGGACTGAATTAAGTTCTGTGAAGGAACACAAACACAAGGATATTCCGAAACTCGGCCTGTCCCTCCCAAGTAGAGACAGCCCTCCAAGCAGATCTGGACTGAGACACATATGTGCACCAGGCAGGCTCATCCTTTAGCTCCTCTTCAGATGGGAAATCTTTAAATATGTGCTCTAGATGTATTTAGAAGGGAGGCACAGGGCTGCATTTTCAGGCCTTCTCTTTTTTGCCATTTTAGCCTCCTTTACCCCAGGCAATTCAGTGCAGATCCCAAACATACCTACCCTGCTGAGCCAAGCAGAAGCCTATACTTGCTTAGACTCCATAGAAGGCAGAACATGACCATCTGTAGTTAGAAAAAAAAAACCCGCCTTATGGAATGAATGTCTTTTATCCCAATAACGTTCAAAGACTAATTAGTCTCTTGCTATATTTTCATGCCCCTTATAGAATCATAGCCTGCATGCCAGCGGTTATGAGGATACAAACCCATCCCAGACCATCTTAGGCCCACCTCAGTGTCTCATCCTAGTCCTGTATTTGCTGTGTACCTTAGGACCAAGCCACCAGCCCCGAGTTTAATCAGAGCAGCTCCGAAGCCAGGCTCCACCAGACTGCTCCTGATGTTCCTTCCAGTGAACACCTGCAGATGGGTGTTCTCTGCTGAGTGGTAATTTATTCCTCCTCATCAGCACCAGTCCATAATTGTCATGACAGTTGGAGTCTCGGAGGTAGGACTGACAGAATAATTAAGTCATCTGTTCAATAAAACTTTTTTTTGTTGTGACCATTGCTATTGCTCGGAAAAAGGAAGGAATGGTGGGAAGATTCGTGGGGAATTAACTAGGAGGTACTTCTTGGGGTTGGATTAGATGATGGGGAGGATGTTGAGAACACCCCTTTTGCCTTTGTCGTGGGGGCAGGATGGAATGCTTAGGCTGTTCTCTGAGGTATGATACGTTTCCTGGGACGGTTCTGTCCCTTCCTTGTGCTCACTCCTCTGTAAAGTAATGTCTCTCAGGGGTGTCACGTGGGTCAGTTAGTTAATGTCTGTTAACAACTTTGAGGATGAGGTACGCCCTTGAACTGCCTGCCTGTCCAGCTCATCACGGTCTCATATTCGATCAGGTTTGGGAGAGCCTTGCATCTGAGAAGATGGAGAGAGAACCGGTAGGAACAGAGTGCTGTGCCAATGTTGTACTCAGCCGTACCCACAGAGTTTTAGGGAGTACCTAGCTAGTAGCTCAGGCATAAGCCCTCGGTAGTTTTTGGTGGTGTTAAGTTTGAGAGGGAGCAAATGTTTTCCCCCTTATTTTTTTTGGCTTCTGTAACTCCTGACTCCACCAGAAATCCCAGAAACACATTATCTGACCCATTCATGAGTTTCCTGGCATGTGTATTTGGTAATTGTAGTAGCGTGTAGTGAATTCGGAGACCCCCCAGGGGAGTCCTGTGCTTGCCAGGGCCTGTGATTGGAAGACTTCTCTGCTGTGTTTATGTTGCTTAAGCCTTGTGGGAAAAGCCTGCAGCTCCACTTCAGATGGTTCCGGGACAAGCCTGATGCCCCTACCTTAGGTTTTAGGCTGTGCTGGGCTAAGGGGATGAGTGGGGATACTGCCCACTGTGCTCTGCCAGGGTCTTAGCCCTTTTCTCTGAGCGTTGCCTGGATCTGTGAGAGAAGCATGCAAGCCTGTCTGTCTCCAGAGCTGTCAAAAGGAAGACAAGCTCTCCTGTAGCTGAGACTAGCCTTGAACTCACTGTGTAGCTAAGATCTTGAACTCCTGATGCTCGTTCCCCGAACACTTGGGGTTACAGGCTTTATGCAGCACTGGAGATCTAAACCAGGGTTTCATGTATTCTGTACAAGCGCTCTGCTAAATAAGCTATATCCCAAGCCAGGCTAGATTGTTTTGCTGTATGACTTAGTCTTAGTTCCACCTTGTATTTCTTAAGGTAAGATTTAGTCACTTGGAGCTGTGAGGACCCATGCTTGGTAACAGGAGTCTTATGTTGGTCTTGAAGCTTGAGCAAGACCTTCTTTATATCCTACATGTTAGTGGGGAGGAAAGAAGAAACCAGGGCAATGGGCTGACTACACGCTACCCATATGGAAGTTGATGACAGATGCTAGGTCCTGCTCCTGCTACCGCCAAGGCATTTGGAAAGAGCCCTTTGAGGTGGTACCTCAAGTGGGCCTATTTGCTCTTTGTGGAGGGGGCAACCAGTTCTCTGGTTTCTAGATTCAGAATTGTTTTCTCATGCCAGAACAAGAGGAATCTGGCTTTATGGGTTGTATAGAAAATGTCAGGGTCACCTGACCTTCGGAGGTGAGGCTAGATGGGATGAATTCTGTAATGACCTAGTTGGTCAGGTCCAATCCCCTCTTCCTTGTCTC